CAAGTCTCAAACTCTTCTCTCATTTTCTGGTTTAACTTGTTTTTTTGTAGTAACATGATTTGAACCCATATGTTACGAAAAACTACCTTAAGTTTGTTGATTGTTACTTGTAACAATCGGTGTTGACTCGATCCGGTCCCCCCCAGAAGGAGGTGGGGGATCTCCCAACGTTATTTGGTCCCTTACTGCTGATGGGATCTATGATGACGAGACCTATGACAATTTTTGCAATGGCACACTCATGAGGAAGATAGTGTTCAGTTTTCCATTGCTTGGAAATTTTTCATTCAATCTGGGGAGAAAGTTTGCACGTACCTCTTGATCGACCTTGTACTGATCCAATCCATCAACTCTATTTTGAGTGAATAGGGTGATCGGTAATAGACTAAGTCTATTTTCTGTTAAACCACTAGTACCTCCGCTAGTCTTGTGAAAATGGAGAAAACGAGTATTTTTTCTAAACTCCTAAAAAGTCAGGGGTTGGGCCCAACGACGGCCATCGTTGATAAATCTCATCAACAACCATTGTTTCATTTCGGCCAAAAAAAAAAATGGAGTCCCATATGAGATCTCCCTATTTTTCCAACCAGCAAAGGTACTAGTGATTTAAACCGTGCAGAGACTCCATGCGATGTCAACGTCTTGCAAAGCTTCCTTTTATCTAATCTTTCGATTTTGAAAACTTACGTATAACTTCTACAAGGAAATTTATGGCACTAACTGTAATGTGATAAATTCTCAAAGCGTTGTCTCGTTAAAGTAAGAACTGTGTTAGGAAGTATTAATTTGTCAATCAGAGATGAGCGGAAACAAATAGTGTTATGAGGCGATCGCCACACCAAAATTTGAATCGCATAATTTGATAACGACACAAATAATCGAAAGAAGACATTTTTTCAACGCTTTAGGTTGTTGTCTACAGAAAGTGACCGACCTCATGTTACGAGACATTTTTATCCTCTATCCACTTCCTGAAATCTTGGAGAATGTGCTACTGAGTTTTGTGAGTCGTCATTTATTAGACTTGATTTTCTTCCTCATGTCAACTACCTTTTTTTCCTAGTACTAGTGCACTTTGCAGTATTGCGGCCTTCAACGACGACCTTCCTTATGATGTCGTTGTTAACTGTATCTATTCTACCTTGGCTAACAAGATCATGAGGTTGTTGCTCTGCATCATAGAGTACGAGTTTCCTTCCGCCTTGCAAAGTGACGTTGTTTGGACCAACTTGTCGTCTGGGATCTTGTAATATTCCATCTTGCATTTGGTTCACTACTCATTTTCTGACATCTTAAAGATTCCCCGTAGGGAAGCCACCCCCGTAAAGCTGACCAAAGAAGATTCTTCAAGTTGGACTTGGAGCTGGGGGGGTTTCCCAAAGGTAAAGGTTGAAAATTTCATATGCAACCCGATGAGCAATTTGTTAAGGTAGCGTGCAATGAGTGAGAACGTTCTGGGGATTTGCTCTTCAAGAAAGCGAATGTTTTGAGGTTGCTCGACTTCAATATCATTCTATCTTGCTCTCTACCGGATGATTGGCGAGACTGTCTTGATTAAGTTGATTTAAGGTCGCCTTGACACCCACTCCTCCTCCCGTTCGATTTGTTCCCCAATCTTTGAGGTTGGAAACCTGCTTGACCAGCTTGCCCTAATCCTTGGTTGTTGGTATAAAAGTTTATACCGCCTACATCGATGACTATATTGGTTGATTGTCGGAGTGATTTCCTTGGTCTGACTTGTTTCCTGCATCACTTCCGGTACATTCCTCCTCATAATAAAAATACCAAGATATTGAAGATTATGCCATCTTCAACTCCCACATATCATTGTTGTTAGTGCGTACCCATATCTTGTTCACTATTTCATCTATGTATCGTGGGTCGACGTCATACTTGAGCTTCATAAGTTATAAATTTGCTTTGTTCCTGATTGGTAGATAGTCCTCTGTAGTGGGCCCAATGATTCTCCTGATCGCGACCTTGGTATACACGATTCAGTCTAGTGGAACTCGCAGCGTTGTTGCCAAAAAAATGTTCTCCAGTTCAATCTTCTTGAACTCCCTCTGCTCCATCCTAGTCATAGAATACCCAAAGCTGAGCGAGTATAAAATTTTGAAAAGTACAATTTCGTTCTTCTGTTGGTCCACCAACCAGATAGAGATTGTGGTGTCCCTAGCTACGTAGGCTAAAACAGTCTAGATAAGAGCTTTAAAGATCTCGTATTACGCCCAACCATTGTGATACATGTGGATCAGATAATCTTTAACCTTTTTGAGTAACTTCTTTGCCTGAGCCATAACCCTGAAGACTACCACAACAATTGTTTTTTAAAACCGTGACTAATGCACTTTGATCTGGTCGAAGTCGTCGTGTACAATGATGATCCCTTCTCTCCCCTTGATCTATACTCCTTTGCAAAACATTTCCTATGAAATGTTGCCTTCCTTATAGCATTGAGTTGTGAGTTGTCTGACTTGATCCTCACAAAGCCCTCTGCTCTTGGGTGCAGAGGGGGAGATTTTGCCCCTGTTGGATCCCGCTCGTCCATCTTCATTTCTTGGTGAGGTTTTTCTTCCATGTCTGACGAAGTTGTTGCTTGAAAACTGCGTTGGGATGTGATATTGAGATGTGTGGTAAAATTTAAGTAGTCCCTCGCGTTGAAGTTAAACCGCCAATACCTTGCCCATACATCGGTCACGGAGCCCTCACCGCGACTTTGGAAACACAGCAAAGGTCACTGATGAAACTTAATGCAGTAATTATGGAAACGATCACTGCAACACGAACACTTATGATAAGGCTTGACATTACACTTGTCCGTCAAGCATGTGCCTTAAACCACAAATACTTTTCCCAACTGTTTTGTCAAGACGTGTCAGGTAACACAGGAGGCCGACGGGGACTAAACCGAAATGGCTGGTGGCGCCAACCAAAATGAGTTTCACACCTGTTCATTTTTTTCGGCGTGCAAGACTATTTTGGGTTCAAATTTATAACCGAGAAAGATACTGGTGGTTTAATCTACTAAAAGTTTGTAAGCTAGTATTACACGACAATACTAATTGAAGTCGTCATGTACCATGATGATCCCTTCTTTCCCCTTGATCTCCACTCCTTCGCAAGACACTTCATCCAGAATGTTGCCTTCCTCAGAGCATTGAGCTATGAATTGTCTTTCTTGATCCTCACTAAGCTCCTTTGCTTGTGGTTATGGAATAGGAGATCTTGCCCCTGCTTGATTCTGCTCGTCCATATCGACTTTTTTGTGAGTTTTTTCCTTCCATGTATGACGAGGCTGCTGCCTGAAAACTGTGTTGTAATGCGATTTTGGGACGTGCAGTAAATGTTGAAGTATTCCCTCGCTATGAAGTTAAACCATCAGCACCTTGCCCATACATGGCCACAAGCCCCTCACTGTGACTTTGAGAGGTTGGAAACATGACAAAGGTTGATGATAAATTTATCAACGTTTGCCCGACCCTGAAAGTTGCGCCCGTAGACGAGCCCCATACTTTTTTTCAAGTGTTGGTAGTTTAAACCACCAATACCTTTCCCCACTTGAAAAACAATACCCGGCGGTTAAAACCACCAGTACCTTTCCCACTTGAAAAACAATACCACGACAGTTAAACCACCAGTACTTGGCCCAGGTATCGATGCCGAGCCTAAAAACGGGTTGCGCGTCGTTTCGTGCTGACCCACCAGCACAACAAAAATAAATTGTTTTGGTTGGCGGCGCCAGCCTTTGAGGGCTGGTACCCCGAGCCTCCGGAAGTTGCGGGGCGACAACACCCCGCGGTCGGTGTATGGGCCAAGTACTGGTGGTTTAACACAGGGAGGTCGCAGACCCCAAACCACGAACACTCGATAGCGGGGAAACTTAGAAGCCAAAAGAAAACACAAGAAAAAAAAGAAAAAAAAATCATATTCGACATGACAAAAACAAATAAACAAAAGAAAACATCTTGGGGTGCACACACACACACACACACACACACACACACACACACACACACACACAGAGAGAGAGAGAGAGAGAGAGAGAGAGAGAGAGAGAAAAAAAAAAAAATGGCAAAATTGAAATATGGGTCAAATTGCGGCCGCGATCTATTTCACAGTTGGAATGATTTTTTAACTCAGTGAATTTGGAGTACTTTTTTAGTTGGCCCACTCATGGATGAGTGACAAAAATGGAAGATGTGCCAAATCGACGTGACAATTATTTCGCAGTCTAAATGATTTTTTGAAAATGTTCTAACGTTATTCCTGGAAAGAACACGACCTCATCTATGGATTCTCAGAATTTCAGAGTTTTCTGCGGCTTCGTCCGAGCACAGAAAATTGCCAAAGTTGCCACTTGCAAAGCACCTGTTTCGTTGCGCCTGACCTCCCTGTTTTGAGAAGACGGGCCTCAACGCCTGGGCCTGAGGGCCCTTTTGCAGTTCACTTGCCCTCACTTCTTTTTGGGGTCCGCTTCTACCCGAGGACCGGTCCAATGCCCCTCACTTCTTTTTGGGGTCCACGTCCACCCGAGGACCGGTCCTTCCTTTTTCCAAAAGTCCCAGTTCTACCAGAGCTAGCTGTAGGTAGTCCGCAATTTTGGCAAGGACCGGTCCCCCAAATTTTTTTGTCCCCTAAGAACCGACTTGGCCTCCTGGTGGCCCGCCGCCAAAAATGCGACACCTTGACACAGACCCCGAAGCCCACTATACCGCAGCCTTGGGGCTGCGAATTTTCCCAAAACACTCACTCAAGCCCGATCTATTCTGGGGGCCAACGGTCCGGTTGCTTGTCGCCGGCGAGCATGGAGAAAGCACGGCGAAGGAAAAAGGCGGGGGGGGGAGGGGTAGCTCTTTCCCGGCTCTACCGTAGTCGCCCAGGGCAGTGACCTGTTGTTGCTCTGCAGGGGGGGGGGTAGTATGACTTTCGCCTGCTCTAATTCCTCCACCCTGGCGACGCACAGCGTACCCAGATGGTCAGGCGGATCCGAGTCTCGGCCGCCGAACTCCCTCTGCATGGAAACAATGCTCTTGCCGTACTCCACCATGCTGTGGTGACATCGATTTTCTAGAGTTCTGCAATTACCCCCTCTATCCGCTTCAGCCTCGCCATGGTCGATCAGATGGACCCTCTCTGCCCCCTTCACCGTCTTCATCGACACAGCGCCCGCCCGTTTACGCACGTGAGAATGTGCAAAAGTACTTGGTGAGGTGAGGGGAGATGCTAGCGCCGGTTGGATGGAAGATTTTTCAAAATTTTATTTGTTTGTATTCCTGTTTTGGCCAGATTAAGGCCAAGATTTGTTCAGCAACGGAAATGCTGTTCTTTTTTGTGTGTTTTGCTGGTTTGTCGTTGGAACAAATCAAGATCCATTTGTTTGTTTGCTGGTTGAATGAAATTATGCCTGTTAATTAACGCATTGGTTCATTAATTAATTCAATTTACTAGTACCGATCCATTCGACAGGATGATCGCTGACCCTTCGATCTAAATTTTCTGTGTAACAAAGCAACAAAACTAAATAAATAAAATCTTCCGTGTTTATCTACCTTTTTTGTCCAAGGCGGCGATCGATCTGCCTCGCTGTGCAGCTGTCAGATGGGAA